CAGTATCCCAAAACGGGATAATCTCAAAGAAAACCCCTCCTAAATATATCATCACAAAACTGCTGACAAAGAGGTGGGAAAAAAACCTTAAGAGCATCTAGAGAAAAATTACATACTATATACATACATGAAAATACATGTATATATGAAAATGACATGGTATATGCATATATGAACACTAACATATTCTGTGAAAATGACATTATATACATACTACATAACTGAAATGACTGCAGGTGTTTCATCAGAACCCAAGGAAGCAAGAAGACAATGGGACACACCTTTAAAGTACAGTCAACCCAGAATTCAATAATAAAGCAAACATGTCCTGTGACAATGAAGGTAAAGAGAGATTGCCATGAAGGAAAAGCAAGAGAACTCACAGCCAGTGGACCTGCTCTACAAGAAATGTTAGGCAGTAAGGAAATTTTCCAGAGGTAAAGAAGGATCTTCAGGAATAAAGGAAGACAGAAATGGTAACAATTTGGGAAAAAAATTCAAGACTGCTTCTTTAGCCCTTAAGTTCTTTAAATTTCTTAAGATGATTTAAATCAAAACACTTTACCTTTGCAGTGTGAGCTGATGTGATACAAATGGCCACAACATAAAGATCCAGAAGGAAAAACAGACTGATATGGTTGCAAGATTTCTAAATTTTATATTAAATGTAACATTAACTCAAAGAAAATTGGAAGATAAGTTGTATATACTTGAGAACAACCACTAAAACATAAAAACTAAAAGACAATATCTAAATAAAAATATATTACTATCTAAATAATAAAAAAGGATCCAGGAAATGAGAAACAGAGAAATTGAAAACAAAAGCAATAAAAAGAAATTACATAATGAAATAATAGATTGAAATCCAATCACATCAATAACTATATTAAATGTTAAAGTTGGAAGTAATTCAGCTAAAAAGCAGAGCATGGGCTGGGATGTAGCTCCATGGTAAAGCACTTGCCCAGGAGGCAGGAGGCCCTGGTCAGGGGTGGGGGGAAAACACAGCAGAATGAATAAAAATGCAAGACCCTACAACACGTTGCCTACAGAAATCACCTTAAATCTAAAGACATGAATAGGTACAAAGTGCACAAATAGACAGTAAAAGATGTACTATCCAAACACTAAGCATAAGTTTAGAGACACTATTTGAATATCAGGAAAAATACATTGCAAGACAGAGGGTATGACCACAGGTGAAGTGGGGGATTTCACAATGACAGAGGAGACAATTCATCAGAAAAGATAATAGTAAATGTGAATACACTTAGTAACAGAAGCTCAAGATACGTGGAAAAATAAAACTGACAGAATTTAAGGAAAAGCAGACAATTCTGCAATCACAGTAAGAGATCCTCCTATATCTTTATCAACAATTTAAGTGGATCTCCCTGCCACCA